GGTTCAACTATTGATAACTATAAAATGTTAACATGTAAATTTCAGGTTTGTTTAGGTTCAACTATTTATAACCTTAAAATGCCAACATATGATGATTATGTGTATCCAGATTCAGCTAAAGTTCTAGGTTTTATATTATCTATTATACCCATAATACCAATACCTGTTTTTATGGTTTATGAACTTTATAAAGCAAACGGTTCACTTTTACAGGTTAGTAGCTTTAGTTTGACTCTATCCCCAATCAGTTCTTATTCTCAAATTTTCCATTAAACGGTTTTGTTACGCATACTGGATTTTGGTAATTTTGATGTACATCGTTTTAGCTGGGTCAGTTCAAATCTTCAAAAACTTCATTTCCTTTATCATGGAGGCATCTTCAAAATCTGGTCAATTCAAACTTCGGACTGAAAAATCGCAGATTCCGTCAATTGTCATCAATTGCTCAATTCCTACTTTTTAAGGTGCGGGCACACGAGCGGTCTTGGTCGCCGACAGGATTTGCTAATATCAAACAAGTTTGATAATTGTCTCCGATAGTTTTATCGTCTGCAAGACAGACCGTTATCGTCATGGTCGCGCGTGATTATCGACATGGTCGTGCCAATTGGCGAAGCTCCGGACAAGACTCTAGTCGGCGTCAAAAATCGCCGACCAAGACTGCTCGTGTGATCGCAAAAAAGTGGCAAACGTTGGATCTTGTCGTGAACAATAGGCAATGAGCAATTCGAATGTGCGACCATCCAGTCCAAATCGCAGTTGATTGCAGACGTTCCATTTCTCGATAGGAGTGTTTCGCACAAGTCGGCCGCAATGTATTTGATGAGATCATGTCGATTAACAGTCGACCTTAAACCACTTGTAACGATTCTCTCTATTTTCTTTTTTCAGAGATTTAAACAAACTCTACGACCAGCGTCAGATTGGGGGCCTTCATGTAAAGAATACCGACATGAATATTCATTAAAAGATCATCAATATGAATCACCATTTGTTAAAACATTTCACAGAATACGTCATTGTAGAAGATGATGATGAACTTCATATATCTAAATATCTCCATTATAATTGAACTGTTTCAGGGGAAGGGTTCGCCATCCGTTTGACCACTTTTATACCTTAGTCTCAGAAATAGGAATTTTACAACTAAGCTAATTAGTAATATTGTTCACGGCTCACCGCCGAAATTAGAAACTTCAAATCTATGGGTGTCCAGAATTTTGTCCTTGTTTTAAAGTGAGAACTCTTCAACTTAAGATACTCTGTGATCTATAGTAAAATTTTTAGTTTGAAGTATTTTTAAAGGAATTGTACGATTTTCGTACATTTCTAGTATCAGTACTTCTGAAGACCATTTACATATATTCAAGGCCCAAATCAACCCCCAAAATGGCGAATCTGTCACTTTAAACCTTTTTTTTTATTCATTTTTTATTTTCAATAATTCTAAAGAAAGGATCGATACAAGGTGCATAACATAAATCAATCTCATATTTTCAACGCGTACTTGTGAAAGAAAGAAAGAAACAACTATATTTTACAAGGATAAGAACTTCGACAGGAATTATGAGTGAAGATGACTTATTCAATGTCATCGGACTTTCACACGCCGATCGACATCGGCTTGTCCAAAGGTTGCGTTCCTTTTCTCGTACCTTCAAAGCAAGAATTCTTCAAATAAGCATGCGGACTTATATTTTAATGAGAAAGAAATAGAATTTAGTGCAAACTATACAGCCTCCAAATTGAGCTGGCGTGAAAGATTTTTTTTTCGTAGCTTCCGCTGTTTAAGATGGGACATATTATATGTGTGTAATGTATTTGTTTATATCAAACATTAAAAACTTGATTAAAAATAACATCCTATGTTCAGTAACTGATCACACAGTCAACGATAAACATCGTTTAGATTTGTTTCATATGGCTATCAATATTAATCCCCGTACCGTTAGAACATTTCAACTCTTGGTAATGGTCATTTCATGTAAACAATACTCGAACGATCTCAGTTCTGTCCCACATCTTAAAATATTTATTGCAAATATGTTTGTCTCTAGTTGTAAAACTAGATTGTAGATTGAGTAGATATAGCTCTTACATGTTCAAGGGTTGTTTTCCTTGCCCCGTGCCTAATTTTGTGTTTGATTATAGCAAAATTGATACCAGAAAGCTCGTTCACTGATGCACACTATGAGAACACGTATCGTATTTTCACTAAACGAATTTATGAAATTGTTGATTAGGAAGTAAATACATTATGTGTATACTTATCTAAATTCTTCAAGGTAATAATAAAATGTACGAAAATGAAATCCTGAGCAACCAAACGACAACCCCGTTGAATCGTGGGGAACACTGTGTGTGTAAACTGTTCATTGTGTATTTATGCGAAGCAAGGACACTATGCAAATGTTCTGTGTCACACAGAGGAGCCCATGTCAAATCAATTGCAAAATACATCAAAAACAATTTTTTTTCCTATATTCTAATGGGAGAAACCTCTCACAAGCATATTGTGTGCTTCCCGAATCTCAACCATGACAGTTATACTTGTATAACGCCAGTTTGTCCAGTTTGTAACCATAATCTCGAGATGCTGGCAGCGCCAATGATAGCACACGTAGTAACACATTCTTTTTCCCATCAGAATGGGAATTTTTTTTAGCATATTTTAGTTAATGGAGTTGATTTTACGTTCAAATCTCCTTGAACCTCGCATATAAAACTCATCCGCAAAAAAAGACAAAAGGGTGAGTTTATGTGTTGACTACCGAAAAGTCATCAAATTAACTTGGACACATTCCTACAAGTCAGTTAATAAAGAGAAAATATACCGAAATATTGGTAGGATAATCTATCTTCACTACAATTGACTTTAAAACCGGATATTATCATGTCGATGTCAAATTGATATCAAATGTCAAAACACTGAATGAATCTTCTTTTATACTCGACAAGGCTTAAAAGACGCGGGTCAAAACTATGCCGATTTCTGTCAAAAAATGAAAATTGAGAATTTTGTTTGTTTACCTTTTATAAGGTCCGTATTTTCAGTCCCTCAACATGTTTTTTTCGAAAAATATGTTTTTATACCGTTTTTCGAACGTAACCTGCTATGAAATTAATTGTATTAAAATAAAAAAAATCGTTATTTACGACCGTGTCCATGGTCTTGGACATTCGATCAGTGGCCATGTTTGACATATCGCCGGAAAGCTGCTGAAACGCTGTGCATGATGGTTGTAAAATCTCTTGAATATTTCTAAACCCTTTCCGTCAATGGCCGGTAGAAGATGACCGTCGAATGTACGGAAAATGCCTTATTTGGTGTTATGATGAGGTTAATTATGCATGACCGGTCACGGCGCATGCGCATAGCGTTAATACAGAACTTGCGCATCCTGTCACTTAGTAACTGGACTCATTAATATTCATATATTTGACGCGATTATACTAGTCATAAATTGCAATTAAAAAATATAAAATATGATAATCCCGACTACTAAATTTACCGCAAGACCGCGAATTAATGAATTTTTCTTATTAATTTCTTCACATTTATCAATTTATCTTGTAATCGATTTATTATTATCTATTGAAATATGCCACCACAGAAATCTTCAACCAAAAAGAAACTTAAAGGAACAAAAAGGCGAAAAGTTTCGCGGAAAGTTATCAATAAAAAACTCAAAACAAATGATGACCCTGACTTGACACCTGAAGCAGACGAATTTTTCAGTGACATTGATGATAGTGTATTATCTGATGACAATAATTTTGATAGATCTAGCTCTGGTGACAATGATAAAAATGATGATATTAGCTTGAGACCTCAAAATGGTAAAAATGATAAGACTGAAAATGCTATTTTTAACCAGGAAAATGCAACAAATATTAAAAGTTTTACTTCTTCTATTGCAAGAAAAATTAACAGTCATACAATATTTCATGACAATAAAATAAATTTAGAGAACAATGATTCATTGAATGAACAATTAAATTCTGGATTCATCTTATTTCATTCAGACATTTTACAAAATATAATTTCAAATCTTCTGTGCCCAGAATGTTGCTCTTATGGTGTAAAATCCAGAGTGAACTGTCATAAAGGCTACTCAGTAGTATATGAGCTTATAGATTGGTCGCATAGGGGGATTCCCCATTCCATTTCATTTCATGGGGAAAATGCAACAAATATATAAGCTCCCAAAAAGACCTAAATTCCCTTCATTTCATAAATTCTTACACTTAAAGACCTAAACTCCCTATAAATTATTACATCCTAAATTCCCTACATTTCATACACTAAAAACATCTTCAATCAATTTCCTACATTCCATCAAAAAAGAGAGTATATGAACTTATAGATTGGTCGCATAGGGAATTCCCCATTCCATTTTATTTCATGGGCTCAATCTATAAGCTCCCAAAAAAGACCTAAATTCCCTACATTTCATAAATTCCCTACATTTCATGAATTCTTACATTTCATAAATTCTTACATTAAAAAAGACCTATACACTAAAAACCTTCAATCAATTTCCTACATTCCATCAAAAAAAGCATATTAAAGATACACTTATATAAAATAACATATCATCCGGTTTTTAAATAACCTCGTTTTAAGTAATGTAGAAGGGAGATAACCTTTTTTTGGGTAAAAACAGACTAAATTAACTCATTTAGAAATAGGATGAGTTTAATTCTAAAACACGAACAGCACAGATTCGAAGATTATTCGAACGACGATATCTTTTCTTCATTATTTTCTCTAGGTAAAACAATAATTCCAAAAGTAGCTAGCTTTGTTTCAAAAAACAAATCACTCATTTCAACCGGAGCGAAAGTCATCGGCTCAATCGCGGAAGCGGGAAAGAGTATAAGCGACACAGTGAAACAATCTAATGAGTTGAAAGAATTAGTTGAAACTAATAAGAGAACTTCGAAGCAGAAGATTAGAAGAAAGGAAAGGAAAAGGTTTTAAAGTTATAGGATAAAAAATGATTGTCGCTCACGCTCCAAAAACTTATTTCGGTTCAGGAGATATACAAAAATCATTGGGTTCTCTTCCTGGATTTCCATGGGCGAAATATCCCGGAGAAAAACATCTTCCCGGTCATAATTACACCGGTCCAGGTACTAGGTTAGATCTACGATTAGACGAAAACGATAAACCCAAACCAGGGGAAGAACCAGTCAATAGAGTTGACGCCGCTGCGTTTAAACATGATATTTTATACAGAAACAAAGACATAAACTTCAGACACGAAGCAGACAAACAAATGATAATCGAACTTGAAAATATTCCAAATCCAACTTTCAAAAAGAGAATGCAAAGAGCATTAATCATTAAACTCTTGAAAGCAAAGATGAAATTAGGTATGGGATTAGCGGATGAAATTCACAAAGAATTTAGAAAAACTAAAAACTTTTTAAAAGTCAAAGTGTTTGAAAAAGATGAAATATGGTCAGCCGATTTAATTCATATGCCAGTCGAAAGAGGATTTAAATATTGCTTAACAGTTATAGATTTATATACGAGATATGTATGGGTTATTCCTCTCAAAAACAAAACGGGATTATCAGTCAAACACTCATTTGAAACGATTATGAAACAATCTAACCGACATCCAGAAAAACTGTGGGTAGATAAAGGAAGTGAATTTTATAACAAAAATATGAAATCTCTTGGATTTGAAATTTACAGTACGCATAACGAAGTTAAAGCTGTAGTTATTGAAAGATTTAACAGGACTCTAAAAAATAAATTATTTAAAAAAGTTCACGGAATTGAAATCTCAAAAATGGCTTAAAATATTACCAGAGGTTGTAGATGAATACAATAACAAAATTCATTCATCTATAGGTGTCACACCAACACAAGCCTCGAGTAATCCAAATATTATAAAGTCAATTAACGCGCAACCAAAGTACGAAAATGAAATAAAGAATTTAAATATCAAACCCAAATTTAAAGTCGGAGATCGAGTTCGTATTTTCAAATATAAAAGTAAATTCGAAAAAGGTTACGTTGGATACTGGACGAACGAAATATTTATCGTTGATAAAGTAAACACTACATCACCTCCGACATATGAATTAATCGATCAAGACAAAGAACAAATCATAGGTAGGTTTTATCAAAACGAACTTCAAAAAAACGACTTTTAAAAATGAATGAATTTCTCGATAAATATGGAACCGATACAACCACAAACTTTCAACTTATGAGATGGGCGAATGAGTTAAATATATCACCGTTTTATTATTGTATGAGAGATGAAATAAATGATCTGAAATATAAGAAAGGTAAATTTTACGCTATAACAAATATACACACTTCCGATCAAAAAGGAGTTCATCATTCTGCTTTGTATAAAGACTCTGACTTTTATTTCTTCGATTCTTATGGATTAGAACCCACTGAAGAGATAATCCAATTGACTAATAAACCAATCAAATGTTCAACATTTCAAATTCAATTACCGGGACAAAAGTTTTGTGGTCAACTTTCACTTTGGGTTTTATATCAGTTGAGTTTAGGAAAACAGTTTGAAGAAATTATAATAAATTTAACTCAATAAAAATGGCGAATAAGTTTGGATTAGGTTCTTTATCTTTAGAAACCAAAAAACCTAACACTACAGCGTGGATAAGTAAAGCAAAACCTTACTTCCTGGATCAAATCGGAGACACTCTTCAAGGTGATTTAGATATGAACAACTTTAGCATAACTAATTTAAAGTCTCCGGAAAACGATAATGATGCCATTCACAAGAAATATTTACGGGAACAAATAAATTCAATTGAAGTAAATAAAAACCATTTAGAAAATAAAATAAATAATGTGAAAAGATTCTTCAAACGTCAACTAAATAATAAAAATTTTGTTAATGATACTAAAACGATTTTTACGAAACATAAAAAATTCCACCTTAGCACAGATAGCAGCTAAAAACAGACTTTATGCGTCAACTAAATAATAAAAATGATACTAAACTGCAACAAGAGGTACAAAGATTAATAAGTTTTATTCAAAAAGAATTGGTCAACGTAGTGAACAAAACTGAGTTACAAAATTTAATTTCATTAATATCTAAATTAGAGGATAAGATTGCAAAACAAAAATTAGACATTCAACAATTGATAGATAACATTCCTGATGAAAATGAAGATAAGTTTCAACAGGAATTAAATGCTCTGGAAACTAAACTTAACAGTGAATTACAAAAAGAACTAACAAATATTAAAAAACAAATACAAAATATTGATATTGTTATTCAACAACAAATACAAAATATTGATGATAGCGAAATCAAAACCTATATTCATCAACAAATACAGAACATTGATGATAGTGTTATTCAACAACAGATAAGCACTATTAATAACCTAGTTTTAAAACAAAAAAATAGTCGCATTAGAAAAAAAGTTTCTCAAGAAAGAATCATATTACTTCAATCTTCCATTTGGAGGTTTAGATGAGAGTCGTGTTGATCCTTCTATTACTGATAATATTGATAAATCAAAAGACTATGAAATTAAAAAATATGGATTTACAGCAAATATTAGAATATATAAACCTTCTAATATTAAATTTCCCAATGGAATGTTTGATAGTAATTTTCCAACATATTTTTATTTCAATGGAAAACTTATAATTGAAATTACTTTTTCTTTTCAGGTAAAAGTTGATTCATTATTCTTCAGACAAGATACATCATTATCTAATAAAAAATTCAACGCTCGTAAAGTTCTTCAGTTTATCAATGGTACAAAAAATGTAGAAACTAAAGAATTAGAAATTAACGACGAAAACACCAAGGTTAATCACTTATATGAAATTAAAACGAGTGGAAAATATATAGATAGGTTTAGAATGTTAATCATACCAGATAATGAAGATCAATTTATATTGAATGATTTTGATATGTTATTGGAGACGGAGACTCCACCATCAATGAATATTATTAGAAATCCAGAACCAGAAAAAAAAGATATAAGCCATTATGAGTTTTTACGAGCAACAGACTTTGAATACGTAAAACTATATTTTGTTATTAATGATGTATTTACCTCAATCGATATTCATATATTAAGTCAACAAAGTCAAAAATTTTTAATAAGAGATGATGCATATGTTAATATATCAATCTATATTGAAAAACCGTATTTTTCAGTTCATCTGAATAAGATTAATGATTCGAAAGAACAAATATCGTTAGTAATTATACGAGTTGTTATTAATAAACACCTAGCAGCTTTATCAGAAGTTCACTTAATTTAATTACCTAAAAATGGAACTCGAAAGTAGACAAAACTACATGATAGAAAAACAAAATGAACTAAAAGAAAAACTAAAACAATTCAACAAATGCAGAAAAACATGGAGTAGAGTCGATTCTGTTTTCAAAACATTAAGTACAGTTTTAACAATAGGGATAACGGTGGCAACAGCCGTAACCGGTGGATTAATGCTTCCAATAATTGTCCCAACTGTATTAGCCGCGTTCACTGCCGTTCAAACTTCATCTTGTGGTTTGATTACTTTAGGTTTTACATCAAAACAGAAAGCTCATTATAAAAGGAAAACAAAAATTTTAAATACATATCTTAATAAATTGTTTATATTTTTCGAAAGATCTAGAGAAGATAAGAACATAACTATTGAAGAATTAGAAGAATTCAATGAAATTTTTAGATAAATTTGATGTAGAAATATCATCAATAAAAGTTAAAAATTCCTAGTTAAAAATAGTTGCTTTAAAAATATGAATAAAATTGAAATTGTAGACGATAAAAAATTCATATCAATGAAAATTTTAGACGATATTATTGACAAGATTATCTCTGATGAATTAAAAAATATGAAAAAAAATGATAAATTCATATCAAATGAACTTTTTTCCGATGTGATTGACCTTATCTCTGATGAATTTATAACATTTAAAGGGCAAATTGAAATAGTTGGAGAGATAACTCAAGATGGAAAATACAAACAAGACATGAAATTTGTAGGTTTTAATACCAAAACTTTTGTCAATTTCTTCGCTGCAGTGGATAATAAATCGGATGCCTCCGATTGGTATTTCACAGGAAAAATGATTTTCCATAAAAACAATTTCAAAGAAATAAAAAGATCAAAAAAGGGTAGTGGTGTTACCCTACTCAAAAAGATAAAAGAATATATCGGTATAAATTGTTATATACCGAGCGATGGATACTGCTTTGTAAAGTGCGTTAATCGTGTTTTAAACGAAGACTACACACGAGAGAATTTCAAGATTTCATCAATTTTTTTCAAAATCAAACAGAAAAGGAGTCATGACAACTGCTAGAATCTGCGAATTCAATAAGAAATTTAATACTAATTTTCAAATATATATGCCCAAACATAGACATTTTCAACCAAAGAAAGTAACCGAAGAATTAGATTGGGTTTTTTATTTACACAAAGAACATTTCTGTTTGATAAGAAGAAATAACAAAGCTTTGGGCATTAAAGAAATAGAAGATAATTACGATGAAAACGTATGGAGAACTTGTGAAGATGATAATGCGGTAACGCAAGTTTCACCTCTAAAACTAAACGTTTTTCCAACCATTCCCGATTATTGCTTATACGCAAGGGATTGCGAAACCTATTGCGAAAAAGAAACGAATAAAGCCATTCCTTATTGTTGTACTTTAGTCAATTTGGAAAAACTGAGGAAAAGGCTAGATGATTATAATAATTATTTAAGTGATTTTTATTAGACTCTAGATTTTAAGCCGTCAGATCCCATTACAACATACTCATGACTAATATAGTAGAAATATTTGTAGGTACAGATTGTATAGATCAAATGTTACAACGTTTAGGAAAAGTAGATCAGAAAAGACTAACCTTAATAACTGGATCATGATCAAAAACGTAAAAAAACTAACACAATGCCCTTTAAAAACAGCTAGAGGAATTCTTCATGTAGGCCTCAACAACCGTGATCAGATACCAAAGACCTCCTTTAACCAAGCCCAGAAATTAATCGCCACAGCCAACAAAACCTTCCCAAACTCCAAGATCCTCTTCACATGTATACCCATTTCAAATAAAATCTCGAAGAAAGCACAACAGAACCTCAGCACTCTCAACAACATGATGATGGAGTCCAGTATCAACAGCGCAACAATCGTACCACCCTACAAAGAAGAATTCGAAACAGTTGATAATCTTCATTGGTCTCCAGAAACAGCAAACAGCATCTATTTGTTTTGGATAAACCAGCTTCAAGCATCGAGTAAGTCTTTAAACTAATTACTGGGGATAAAAATACTGAGAGGCCACCGCTAGGCCAAACTGTAGTTAACTTGAGCCGCAAAATTCTCACACCCCTTCAGCATTCAATCTTAGACCGTGGACTTAAGTTTATTCCCACACCAAAGATAGCTAACTTGAATTATCTCCGACCATCCATTGAACGATTTCAACGAAATCTTAGCTGCACATATTTTTTTCGAAACCACCCCCCACGTGGTGCTAGAACAATATTTATTCCTAAATCCACGTGGACACCCCCTCAGGCCGCCATCCATTCTGAAATATTGAAAGCATTTGCGAGTATGAATAGCCAAACAGTGAACCTTTCCATAACACACGAAAAGCCTAATCTCACACGAGTGGAACGTGAAGCGTTAAACTTACTTAAGAAAGACGATAGCATTGTTATTAAAAAGAGTGACAAAGGTTCATGTTGTGTCATTCTGAATAGGGAGGATTACGTTTCAGAAGCAGAGAATCAACTGAATAATCCTAAACATTATGCCATTTTACCGAAACCAATTTTCAAAGAAACTGCTAACATGATTAATAATATTCTTGCCGATTTAGTCAAAACCAGTTATCTCAAACAGAAACAATATGACTATCTGTCTGCCAAACCTGATTGTCGCGAGAGACATTTGTACACTTTGCCTAAAATCCATAAGAATCCAACCAAGGAGTGGTTTATCTCGAATAAAATCCATAAAGGCCGCCCGATTATATCTGACTGTGGTAGTGAGTCATATGCAGTGTCAGAATACATTGATCATTTCTTACTACCTCTAGCATGCCAACATCGCGCCTACCTTAAAGACACAACCGATTTTGTCAATAAAATAAAAAATCTTCGAGTTCCCTCTAATGCTATTTTAATTTCTATCGACGTTTCTTCTATGTATACCAATATCGATAACACTACTGGTTTAACGGCAGTTCGTAAAGCTTTTAATAGAAACCCAGATCCAAACAGACCTGACGATGCAATTCTACAGCTTTTAGAGATTTGTCTTAGTCGAAACGATTTCACATTTAATGGTAAAACATATTTACAAACTTCAGGGACAGCAATGGGCAAACGATTCGCCCCTTCGTACGCAAACCTTTTCATGGCAGAGTGGGAACGTGAGGTGTTGCCCCTCTGTCCATTTGACCCACTTTTTTACGGACGCTTTTTGGATGACATTTTTATGGTTTGGACTTATTCTATCGAACAGTTTTGGGAATTCTTTGAAATTCTCAACAACCACCATCCTTCTATCAAACTAACCGCAAACGTGAGTGACAAAATCATAGACTTCCTCGATACCACAGTCTTTAAGGAAGATTCCATAGCAGAAACAAATAAACTGGATATTAAAGTGTATTTCAAAGAAACTGATACTCATCAACTCTTGCACAAGAGCTCCTTTCACCCAAAACATACCTTTTCTGGTATAATTAAGTCACAAGTTTTACGATTTCATCGAATTTGTACAAGATCTTCTGATTTCAACCAAGCCTGTACGATTGTTTTCTCAAAACTGAAAGAGCGTGGGTACTCTAAACGATTTTTACGAAACATAAAAAATTCCACCTTAGCACAGATAGCAGCTAAAAACAGACTTTATGCCGAAGTACCTCCAGGTTTAAGAAGTGCTCCATGTTTGTCCAGTAGATGCAAAACATGTCCCTTTATATCAGAAACTCATTATTTTGTAAGCAACTCTACGAATAAAAGGTACCCGATCCAGGAACATCTAACATGTGAACATTCGAATGTAATATATTTAATTTCATGCAAGAAATGCCCCAAACAATATGTAGGAGAAACTAAGAATAATTTACGAACTCGCTTTAATGCTCATAGGTCAGACATCAAATTAAAGAAAGACAAGCCTGTTTCTAATCATTTCAACCTCGACGACCATATAATAGACGATCTCACCCTAATCCCAATTGAGCGTATAGAAATTGACTTGCCCGAAGATGAAACTACCAAATTCCGTCAATCTAGGGAGGCCCATTGGATTAAGACATTGAATACAGCAAGACCTATAGGACTAAATATTCATCATAATGTAGGCATAGCACCCTTTGTTGTCCCATTTAATACAACCAGCAATCGAGCAAGCAAGATAGTTCATGCCCACTATAAGAGCCTTCAAGAGAAATTCCCCCATGTCTATAAGCAGAAAATGATAGTTGCATATTCAAAAAATAAGAACTTAAATGATAATATTGTTCATAGTAAACTAAAAACAATCAGTACATAACAGATACTATACAGATACTATACTTCTTGCCTCGGGCGAGTTATTTTTTCTAATTTCAGATCAGAATAAGAACAGAAGAAAACCCAATATCAAGACCCTTAATCCTAATTTCTAAATAAAGTGTCCGCTCCACCCTAGGCCTGTACATTTGGGAGAATCAAACCCTCCCTTCCCCGAAATCTTATTATTTGCAAAATATTAATTTCACATGTTCCTATCAACATGAAAAATCTAGTTTAGCGGCATGGGGAAATTCATCTAATCTACCAATGAATTTGAGAAAGATCGAGGATGTTAATATTGCAAAATACACTAAAGATAATTGGGAATCTTTAAGACACGAATGGGAACCTTACGCTAAAAGAGATACGTTATGTCTCGGAGCTTGTTTGATAAAATACAATCAAGCAATGAAAAAAACTGTCTTCCAAAACGTTTCCAATAATCTAACGGCTCCTTCTTTATCTTTAAAGGGTTGGTATTATTTGTATCATTACGATAAAGAAATGGTTGAAGAAGAATGGTATGAAACTACTAGAATGGTTCCGAAACATACGGAAAAACAAAACGTAGAAAAAAGTTTACTCACATACTCACCCTTTTATAAGATATTTTATCAGACAAAGTATTAAATTAGGAAGAGTTTCGGCAAATCGAAAATCATTTGAAACGGATAAAATGAATGAGATCTGCGCCATATTATAAGTATACAATGAAAGTGACACTGAAGGAATAATAGATTTATTCAAAGAATACAGTGTTAACTCAAAAGATAAAACGGAAGTTCACGCTAAACTCAAAGAACTGGACTATTCTAAACTGATGGCATTTGACGCTAATGGGTTGTACGCTTCCGCCATGACAGAAGGTGAATATCCTAAAGCGGAAAGTGCCAGACCTTTTCTACCAGAAGAAGAAAAAGAATTTGTAAAACTCTTCAATAAACAAAAATTCAGACCTAGAACTGCTATTTTTAAAGTCTGGTTTGAATATCCTACCAACATGTTCTTTCAACCCATACCAGCTAAAGATAAAATAAATTTTACGAATAGAATAGGTAAGAAGGAAACTGGCACTAAAATCAGATTCAGAAATGGTTTCTGCCACGACGTTTTTAACATCGGTTGATATTCAAGAAATAGTGAAATCCGGTGGTAAAATTATTAAAATATTAGATGGAATAGTATACGAAGAAAATTTTAAAACTCCACCATACAGAGTTTATATTTTAATTTTGAAGGAATTAAGGAATAAATACAAAAAAGAAGGAGATATGGTTGCTAGTAATTGCATGAAATTATTAGGTAATTCCTTATACGGTAAATCTATTCAGAATGATATAAATACATCGAGACATCTATGGAGTGAAGCGACTTTTAAAGCCAACTTCGATTCACACGTCAAAAGCTATGAAAAAGTAAATGATAGTCAATATATAGTTGAGATGAATGAAGGAGAAAAAGAGTTTGTTCCTCCAAAGGATTTTACTAGATTAACACCCGCTCATTCAGGTGCATTTATATTATCTCACAGTAAAAAAATAATGAACAATTTCATTCACGTAATAGATGGATTTTATAAGCCGGAAATATACTATACAGATACTGATAGTTTATACATTTCGTCTAGCAATTGGGATAAATTAAATGAAGCTGGGTTGGTGTCTGAAAACGAATATAGCAAAGGGAAGAAGGATTATGGTGATGGTGGAATCATATTTGGTTTATATTTAGCGCCAAAAGTAAAATACAATATCATTCTAACTTCCGACGGTATTCTAAAAGAAAAGAAAACGTTATTCCTAATGAAAAACAAAAGAAAGTTTTCAGAAGTTATCTGAATCTCGTTAAGAGAAAAGCACCAAGCAGTGAAGGAATTATGCATCCTTACAACGACGGAAAAGAATTAAACATAGATGAAAACTATGAATTTGATGATTACGATTATCTAACTATTAAAGAAGAGAATGAAGATTCTGTTTTAAATGAAGTTGAATAACAATTTCCTCGTTACCAAAATCTATAAACCTATTTTTACCATCTTTGATTTCCAGATTTATATCTTTAATCATAAAGGAATTAAGTGGTAAATACGTCGTTTGAAATGGTTTCTCTATAATTCTATATCCTATCGGTACAGTGAATGTTGGAAGACTGTAAATAATCTGACGTTTGTATTTATTGAAAAATCCACCGTTTATCAAATTGCAATGTATATTTATCACATCAATATCATTCTCGATATTAGCTTTGTGTGGTGCTAAAGTGGATTGGGTGTATACTCGTTTATCAAATCCTGGTAACGTATTTAATGGATTTTCTACGTTGAAATCAACTTGACTATTATTTCTTAATATCAATTTTATTTTGTTCAGATTCAAATTACCTTTTTACCATTGACACTATATTGACCATATTCAGATAGGTATTCGTTAATGGCTATGTATTCGTAGCTTCCTGGTAGTAAACTTATGGTTTTGAACGTAACTCCATTATCTGTTGATATTTTTATTTGATTATTTTTTTCGTTGATATTTCTAATGGAATTGTAAACAGAGAAATACTTTAATCCCAATTCATAGTCTTGATTGCGATCGAGTTCGTACTCATAGTCTAGAGACAATTTAATGTCTGATTTATTCGAGGTGATGACGAATAGTTGTTCTTTATTTGACATTTTTAATCACGCTTTTATAATCATTTTTATCTATGATACCTTTCTCTAGGAGTCTTTTTAATATACAACTTACTTCATTATATTGTCTGTGCGATCGATGTCCTTCCTTCATTGCCGCTAATATTACTCGTAATCTATTAAGTAGTTCCTCGTTGTTGTCGGATAAAAACGTTATACCTTCTCCAGATACCATATCTTCGAATTCGTCTATTTCTTGTGTGATAGGAGGATGCTCTTCAGCATAATCACCTAACTCCTCTTCATCACGTTAAATTACTCTTTTATATATTTTAACTTCTATCGATCTTCTTGTTTCGGGTCCCGACTTTCTTATTGCATCTACAAATTTCGAGTATGCTACTAAATCCTTATAATCGGCAATACCAACATCCTCGCCATTCATTAAATCTATTAATCCTTTCGTTAATGTGTATATATAATCTTTTGTATCGATTATAAATTCGGGGGTATTTGCCCTAAATCTTATTCTAAATCCATTAAACCGTAACCCTGCTTCATCAATGATTGGTGAAATGCTCTTTGGTTAATCTGGGTCAGGGTTTGAAAAATCATGTTTTACATCATCTACTGTCCTAATTATAATACCATGATATTCAATCGCTTTGGGAGGTTCTATAGGAGCTAAGGGTTCTATAGGAGGGATAAGTCTCTTTTTAATATCCTCTTGAGATTTTAATATGGGTTGAAATAGAGTTTGTAGATTTTCCGTTAATCCGAGTTGTTGTAATCTGTTATTTTCAACTTGGGTTTTTATTTTATTCTTAGCTTTGATATATTCTCTATTTCTTTTTAAAATATTATTCCAATCGTTACTCATTTTTAAAAAAATAAAATGTCGATCATAACTCTTTCACCCGCAGGTTTTCTAGTATTTACAAATACATATCCATAATCATCTGGATTTCTCCATTGAGCTTTACAAACTTTTTTGAATGTATCTCTGTCCATTCCGTGATTTATCGATTCAACGATTTGAGATAAATCTTTGTCGTTTAATTCAAATAATAAAAACCAATTTGCATTTTTTCTAATGAACATAGAATCCATCCCGTAAAAAGATTGGGATTGGTATATGCAGTGACAGTTGTGATGTCTTCCTTTCGTGAAGAATTCTTGTTGAACGGCTTGATTTCTTTGCGCTACGCAGTCGTCAAACACTAGTAAGTTCTTTCGCTCGCTATCAATTTTAGACAAATCTAGATCATTAACATTTTTCGTAAGAAAAACTTTTATATCCGTTGGTTTCTTTCCTTCGATGTAGTTAACTATGAAATCTTTTATTTCCACTTCTTCTTCGTTTTCTTCGTAATATTGAAATAGGTCTTGAACATCTTTCTTTGGTAGATATTCTAAAGCTTTGAGGAATTGATAATACGATTGCTCTGGTGTTGTTGTGTAGATATACAAAGAATCGAAATCTAAAAGGTTTAGTGTTGTCAACATGTTAAAAGTGAGATGAGTTTTTCCCAGAACCGGAACTACCGCATATACACATGAGCATTGGGTTATTAGGAAATATTTCTGAATGATTAAATTTTTTACCCATTTTTTATTATTTTAATTTGTTCCAAAAATCACTCCTTCTCCTTTATACTTTGAAAGATATATTCCTTCTCCAGTGCGTATGTTTTTTAAAAATATTCCATTACCCTTATGTTTGACTTTGATTTCTCCTGTGTCAGTACCATCTACTAATTTATTTAATCCTTGTTTAACAGTTTTCTTGGTTTCTTCACTAAATCTTTTTCCAAATTCTTTCACTGTGCCTATCATTTCTCCCACTCCTGAACCTTTGGCCAACTTTTCCATTTTTAAATTATGTCTATGTTCTTCAGCTGCTGTTACTGCAGCTGCTTTCTTTTCGTTGGCAACGCTTACTCCACCAGCTGTAGCACCAGCCACTGTAGCCGCCGCGGTAATACCAGCAAATATTAAAGGTAGGGAAAATATAAATCCACCTTTTTTTACATTTGTATCAATTCTTTCTAAATCTATATCGTCTCTGACTTTACAATATTTGTATTTATCAATGAGTTTTTTAGTTATGTTGATTTTTTTACCGTTGAAAGTTATTACCGTAGGGCAATCTGTTTCAACAGCTTCTATTATTTACATAACTAAAGTTTCTACCTTCATTTTTAAGGGTATATTTTTTACTCAATTCTTATCATTCTTCTATCTGCTATTTTAATTAAATGTTTTGCTTCTTCCAATAATAAACAATAACCTGTTACATCTCCTTGTGTTTTTTCAATATGAATATTTATGTTCACTCCTGTTTTGAAAAGATCTCCTTGGTGAGCTGATAGATCAAAACAGAAGATTGGGTGATTAATTGCAAAATATACATATTCTAACTGAGGTAGATTTCCAAATAATTCACACATATTTTTATAGTTTCTATACAATTCATTATAATCCTTTGTGGTTGGATTAATTGTTAAAGGTTGGTTAGGATAATTATCGTTATTTAATCTTACTTGAACTTTATGGATTAAAGGATCTTGAGTTTGGTTCATTGCCAATCTAAAGACATTATTGTTATTCGTTTGAAAATCTGGTAAGTTCTTGAAACCAACCATTAAATATCTTGCTGGTTTAATAGTGTTGGTGATTGGCCATGTGGTGGATTCACCACTTAAAGTCGTGCTACCTACCGTATTACAATGAAGAAAAGCTATTTCAATATCTTTAGTTAACGAGTTGAATATTCTCGTTTCTACTTCAATTAATGGTGTTATTACGGGTATGAAAAGTTGGAGATTCGTTATTTCTAATTTTGTATCTGAACCATTCTCTCCAAAGAATATCTTATCATCATTGATTTCTCTTTGTAGATGAATTTTATATGGTAATCCTATGGAAACTTTTCTGTGTTCCAACAGACAGAATAAAGGATATAATTTCCAATTTACGTAATTACCCCACCTATTATTCTCAACAACATTATTATACTGAAGTACTCGTTTTTCGAATCCATAATTAGCTGCTCGTCCTACCCTTTCTATCGTGTTTCGAGCAACAACTCTCACTCTAGCTAAATCAGCATCATTTGCAAGATTTCTTACCGGTTCCTTTAAAATACTCCAATCACCAACATCGGGTATCCAACCTGAGACTGAATCGAAATCTTTAGGATATAAAACTGTTTTCAACATTGTGTCGAATTCCCCAGGATGTTTGATTGTTTCTATCGGATCTGAACCAGCTTCCAAAACCATCTCGCTAAATAAAGATGGAAAGAAAACGTTTTCTAACGTTGTATTTGTTTGTGGAACACGATTTTCATTGGGAGTTCCATCTTTAATTTTGAAATCGCATCGGAAAGAAGCAACCAATTCGATAATGAATTTATTTCGAAGGTAATTCTACCACCATCATTCAATTGGGATTTAGAACCAACAGTGGGGGAGATGATAATATAATCCTCTTTTTTCTTGTTAAATGAATAGCGAATCGGATCGTATAATCTAAAGATTGGATCTAGTATTTTATTTGCCATTTTTAAGGTTTAAAATTTGAGTAGAAAATTGTTTTTTCTCCCTTCTACATTATTTTAATATGCCTTTTTTTGATGGAATGTAGGAAATTGATTGAAGGTGTTTTTTGGTGTAAGAATTTATGAAATGTAGGGAATTTAGGTCTTTTTTGGGAGCTTATAGCCATGACATGAAATGGAATGGGGAATTCCCTATGCGACCAATCTATAAGCTCATATACTCTCTTTTTTGATGGAATGTAGGAAATTGATTGAAGGTGTTTTTAGTGTATGAAATGTAGGGAATTTAGGATGTAATAATTTATAGGGAGTTTAGGTCTGTAAGAATTTATGAAATGAAGGGAATTTAGGTGAAAGAATTTATGAAATGTAGGGATTTTAGGTCTTTTTGGGAGCTTATATATTGGTTGCATTTTCCCCATGAAATGAAATGGAATGGGGAATCCCCCTATGCGACCAATCTATAAGCTCATATACTACTCTACTCAACTGAAATTTATCTGGAATGTTCTCACTGTCCTTACGAAAAAAAATATTGGTCAAGTCCTCACATTAATGATGTTGCTGGTCAAGCACAAAGCCCTAAATCAAAGAAACCATTTGAAATAAATCATAGATTAGTTTTAGGATCCAAAGACATTGGA